TTCGACCCAAACAACCTAGGACAGACCTTAAACATGGCAAAATATGCACAAAATCTTCACAAGGCTAAGCCTAAAACATGCTAGAACAAAGGCTAACAACCTAAGGCATATTAAGGCAATAACATGGCATTACATGGTAGGTATGCTAAGCATGCATGGTGTACCAAAACCAATTTAAAATCACGTTATATTATGGAAATATAAGCATGAAAAACAGTCTATACATGCTCAACACACACTCAAACGTGATGCTCTCTCAAGAGGCCAAAACATGCCCTTTTCAAGGACAACAAGGAGAGGGGGTGGCCCTCTCCTTTTGGAGACTTCAAGGCACCATCTTCACCACTGAAATCCCTCAAGATTTCAGTGGTGATGAGGCCCAAACACCAAAGTCCCGAAACTAGTACAAAATAGCACAAAATGAGGCCTTTTAAGGCCTAAGAGAGGTCAAACACCCTCAAACCACAAAACACTCTTAATAAACAATCAAGAGGACTAAAAAACAGAACTTTTTGTGTTATACAATAAGCTCAAAAACGATTTTAAGATAGGTAAAAATGAGATGCAAAAATGGGGAATAATGGGACTAGATTCTCACCCTTGAAGACCCCTTTACAAATGATGCTCCAATGGCCCTCCTTGGCTTGAATCCAACACCAAAACACCAAAATCAGTCCCTTAGAACCTCAGTAACTAAGTGAAGGTGTGCAATAGTATGGACTAAACACACTAAAACACACTAAAACACACACAAGAGGGAGATATAGAGATAGAAGGTGAATGGATTCTAACCCTAGAACTCAAAACCCTAAAATGGCTGTCTAAATATCTCCCAAGTGTTTCAAGTCTCTAACCCTTGCAACAAGAGAGAGTCCCTCTCTTTTATGGAACTTCTTGTCTTGTAAAGCTTACAAGACAAGCTTCATAAGAGGGAGATCCCTCCATACACGTGTATGGAGGGGAGCAAAAGGCAAGACAGCTGTCTTAAAATATCTGCAAAAGCAGATGCACAGTAGTCGGCCGGCCAAAAATGCCGTTTTGGCAAAAAAGAGTGCCGACCGGCAACAAATAGTGCCGACCTGCAACAAAGAGTGCCGACCGGCAACAAAATGTGCCGTTGGCAGCAAAAACCAGCCGGTGACCTCCAGCCACTGCCGGTGGTGTGTGGGGATGCCTCACAAGGCATTCCCTGCCCCTCCAAGGCAAAACACAAGTGTTTGGTGTAAAACCAGACACTAAACGGTTGAGTTCGGAGATCCTGAGACAAGGCGCGCGAGTCGAGACCTCCGGGAACTCCAAACGAACACAAACATGGATAATCACCGAGTGTTCAAACGGTGACGTCCAAGTCTTGAGGACGGTCAAAAATGGGGTGTCTACACTCGCATGAAAAGAATGGAACAAATGCTTACAGCTTTAACTGGGGTGGTAATGCAACAACAGAGGCAATAACCTCTACCTCCTCTACCTCCGCCGGCCCAAATTGAACCGGACAACAACAACATTATTAATTTGACTCAGAAGTTCATGAAAATAAAACTGCCAACCTTTCTTGGAGGAATTAAACCATTAAAGGCTGAAACATGGTTGTTGGAGATGGAGAAACTGTTTGAAGTATTTCCCTGTTCTAAGATTCAGAAAGTCTTATTGGCTACCTACACTCTGAAGGACGAAGCTCGGAGATGGTGGTTACTAGTTTGGAATGGCAATGAAAATATGTCATGGGCTCAATTTAATACAATCTTCTATGACAAGTACTTTCCCCAGTGCTTTCGGGATCGGAAAGTTTCAGAATCTCAGGAACTCAAACAAGGCAGAATGTCCGTAGCTGAGTACGAAGCTAAATTTACTAAGTTCGCCACGTTTGCTCCTCATATGGTGGACACGGACTACAAGAAGGCCCGCAAATTTGAGAGTGGGCTGGATTTAGATATACTGGATCAGGTGGGAGTTATGAATCTACCCACGTATGTGAATGTGTTGGATAGGGCATTAATGGCGGAAGCTATTTTGGCTAACAAAGAAACAAACTCTCGTCCCACGAACTGATTGGATGGGAAAAAGGTTTGGGAACAGTTTCAAAAAGAGTGGTTCAGTTACTGGGAATAAGAGACAAAATAAAGGATTTTACAGTGGCTCAAGCCAAAGTAGTGGTACTACACCGACTTGCCCAGACTGTGGTAGAAAACACAAGGGGGTTTGTTATCGAGCTTCAGGTGCCTGTTTCAGGTGTGGAAAAATCGGTCATGTGATGAAGGATTGTCCTATCAGGCTCAAAAATGCCAACTGTCTAGCGGCAAGTTCAGCCGAATCCGCTTCTGCATCCAAGATGAATATGAAAGCTAACACCAGGAAAGAGACTTTGAGGCAAGGTCGAGTATTTGCACTTGTGCCAGGTGATGTGCAGAACACTGAGTCTGTGGTGTCAGGTACAATTTCTATATGTGCTTAGAATGCCTCTGCGTTGATTGATTCTGGCTCCACGCATTCATTTGTATCGCATGCTTTCTCTTAGAAATTAACTAGGCCATTAGAACCTATGAACTGTCTATTATCTGTATCTACACCATTTGGGGGTTCCATGATATGTGTTTATGTATACCTAGCATGTGATATTTTGATTGGTGGTGTGACATTATATGTGGATTTGTTGCCCTTAAGCATCGATCATTTTGATTGTATTCTGGGTATGGATTGGTTGACTAAATATTGTGCTACTATTGATTGTGTAAACAAAACCGTCACGTTTAAACCACCTGGTATGTCTGAGTTTACTTTCACTGGGAATGGGGTAGTTGCTTCGCCATACTTGATTTCATTCATGAAAGCCAAGAAATTGTTAAGAAAAGGTTGTCGAGGCTACTTATGTTGTGCATTGATTGAATCTGTAGATAGTACCAGTGTAGAAACCATTCCTGTGGTTAGTGATTTTCATGATGTGTTTCCCAATGATCTACTTGGGGACTTAATTGATAGAGAAATTGAATTCACTATTTAAGTAACACCTGGAACTCAACCTATCTCCAAGACTCCTTATAGGATGTCGACTATAGAATTGAAAGAGTTAAAGGTCCAACTCCAAGAACTCTTAGACAAGAAGTTTATATGTCTGACTACTTCACCTTGGGGTGGTCTGGTGTTGTTTGTTAAAAAGAAAGATAGGTCCTTGAGACTATGTATTGACTACCGTGAGTTAAACAAAGTAACCATCAAGAACAAGTACCCCCTGCCCTAAATTGATGACCTGTTTGATTAACTTCAGGGGGCCCAAGTGTTTTCTAAGATTGACCGTAGATCCGGGTATCACCAGTTGAAGGTCAAAGCAGAAGACATAGAGAAGACTGCATTCAGAACTAGATATGGGCATTTGTAGACGTCCCCAAACGTCCCGAGGGAAATCTCCCGTTTTGTTCATTAGGATCACTACAGTTCACAACTCAATGTTACGGTCCTGTATCTAATCTCGCAGAGTGCTATACAAGACCGATGAATCATGAAAGAGTCCAAATCCGGCAAATCGTTTTGAAAACAGATTTTTAAGAAAGAAGTGCCAAACATGGACTGCTTTGCCTGATACAGAGTCGCCACCTAAATATTTATTTTGGGGGAATTTAGGAAATCCTGACTCGTTGCCTAAGGCCATGTGTCCGTCATCACCAAAGTTGCCTCGGCTCGGGAACTTGGGTACAATTGGGGAAGGTCAACTATGAGCACCCCCGCTCACCCGATCCGAAGATCGGCTTGTACTATGCATGATATCGAGTTTTGAAAACATATGTGTTCTTATTCCAGTTGATTAGCTAGAATTTACTATGTGATGCGCACAACACACAAGTATAGACTAGATCACCTAATTTGGAACAAAGTATCGCATATCCGTTTGTTTTTTAAACTGGTTTGAAGTTTGCTACTCGCAAGTAGGCTAAAACACAGGTTTCGACGAATTTATTCCAATTCAAGCAACCCAACCTTCACCCACAGGCATTCAGGAAGTTATATCACATAAGTAAATAGCCTCATGGTAAGCATGCTGTCGTGTTAACACTCACATACATGCAAGATGCTAAAGCACAAATACTCACAGTGTACTCCGGGCCAAAACAATGAACATGTTAGTAATCAAATGTATGATCCAAGTCCATGTTAAAAATGGCTAATGCAACTAGAATAGGCTCGGCTAATCTAAAGTGGCATATGAGATGTGACAATTCAACACATGTATTTAACTTGGAATTTGAAACACTATGCAGTTAGTATGATGCGCCGAGCCCGGTGCATGCAATACTGATGAATGATGCAAACATGCATAGTATAAGGATGCTAATTGAAACGTGCCCTAGAACTAACCATCGTAAGCGGTTAAGTAAAAGGGAGAAAGAAGTGGAGGTTGGAAGACATACATCACGCACACGCACGCTTATTACACAATTGCGCCCTCTCGAGGGACCAAAACAATAGTACAAACCAAATAAATAATTAACTATTCTAGCTAATTAATTATTACAGCCACTTAACTAGTTAAGCAAATTAACTAAGCTAATAAAGCGATAAAGCAGCCTCGGGAAGAGGGATAAATGCACGCATGCTCGGCTCCGCTCGGAAATCCACCGCCATGTCACATGTTGCCTCTATTTACACTGCTCTGCACCTTTGAGGACTGCACAAGTCTCAAGGTCACTTCTGGACTACTCCCTGAGCACTGTGGGAGGTCACCAACCAAGAGGGAGCACCACCGGCCATGGAATTATGGTCATCGACCAAAAATGGGATCACCAGCCCTATTTTGGTAGTCGGCCGGCACTGAAAGTTGCCGACCTGCCATCTTCTCCTGCAGAACACTGGTTTGCTGCAACAGAGGACAAACAGAACATGGTGATGCATTTTTAAAGCAACTTATGCACTACCACCCTCCTCAGCATGTTTGAGACTTAGAGGAGCGTGGTTCTCGACCCTCGGGCCATCAATCATGCATTTCGATGCATTATGGCCCAAGGTGCCAAGTGTGCAATTTGATATCAAATGAAATGCACACAAACACACAATGATCTTAACCTCTATCATAATTGATCAAGAGGCAAGGGATGCAAACATGCACAATGCTATGCAATCTAGACATGCAAGCAAACTAATGCAACATGAGCATGTAAACAAACATGCAAATATGCAAGCATGTAACAACATATTAAACTCGTGACAAAATACAAGCTAACAAGCATGCAAAATGCAACTTAAGCATACAACAATATGCGATGAGCAAAGTATGCAACAATATACAAGGCGAGCATGCAACAACATGCAAAGGATGGACTTACACCAAGAAGGACAGCTCTCTAATAGGCCCAAAACAGTGGCCAAAATGCTAAGGGATAAGGGACAAAACCACATACGAACATGCATGCTAATGGCCCATCACTTTAAGCACAAAAGGGCAACCCTTAAGCACACTTAAAAGAGGATGAACATGGACAAATGGCATACATTGTAAGTTCTGAAATCATGTTAGAAATGGTGCCAAACCAACTAAACAAATCAAGCAAAGCATGCAACCAAGCCCAAAATTTGGAAACTAGTCATGGGATTTGAACCAAGACTACATGAAGCAAACCTCAAAGGGCCATGGGGACCTAAAACAGTCCCAAGGCAGGTCTAATCAAGACCAAAAGTGAGCTCGAAACTAGCCAATACAAGCTAGATTAAAGGGGCAAAATCATGAGGCATGCAAGGCCACCGAAGAGGTGTTACACTACACCTAATACAACCAAACATGGCATGACTCAAACAATAAAAGTCAGAGATATGACATGTTAAAATGAGCCCAAAAACCCACTTAGATGGCATCTAAATGGTCTAAGCATGATGGCATACACAATGGTCCAAACATGGAGCATAACACAACAACTCTTTATGGCATTAAAGGAGCATCAAATGTAAGTAAACAAGCATGCCACATGGACTGAAATGACATGGTAAGTGACTCCAAATCACTGAAATAAGCCAAGTAATGCATGCTAGGGGGTTCAAAACTCAAAGCATACAAGCTAGATTGCATGATAGCTATACAAAGCAAGTCATGGATAACCAAAACAACCAAAATCTGACCTCAAGCATATTAAAACAAGGCTAGACGCTTCACAAAGTTGAGCCAAAATCATGCTAAAAACACATGTTACAACATGATGCATGTTAAGGCCAAAACATGGGATTACAAGACAAGTGTATGAGGCATACATGGCATGTCTAAACCAACTCAAAACAGAGGTGTATCATGGAA